GAATTCAGTTTTCTGAAATACTGATGCCTAAAACTGCACAACTCGCACTCTTTTGGTCTGCCAGGGACTTGTCACTCATACCTATTCTAAAAACATATATTTTTTTCTACAACAGACAAGTCATGTTATTTACACTATGGCAGTCTAGTTCTTCAATTACACTATAGCCTATTGCAGGTCAAAGCTGTCTCAATAAGCTACCTCCAAAGAATACGATTAGTCGCTACCAGTTCCACCAACACTTGATTTTTAGAGTCTTGATACCTATCTCCACACAGTCTATCTATCTTATGTGAGGTCTTTCTCTTTTCCTGGTACCCTCTACACTTGCAGCAAAGGTCACCTTTTTAACAGAGTTCAAATCGTCACATCTAAAAATATGCCCAAGCCACCTGATTCGATAAAATTACACTATGGCATTATAAATTAAAAATTCTAGAAGGAAGTAAGGAATTAGATAAAGATATTTTCTTATTAAAGGACCAACATATATGCTTTGTTGAAATTTGGCAACACCTGAGATTAATTTGGAGAAAATTAGAAAACATTATGACAACCTTCAAAAAATTAAAACCCAAATGTGAGGAGAACATAACATAGTTACCTTTGCGGAGTGGTAATTTAAAAACTATTACCTGCTATTATGGAATTAAATATGTGCCACCCTAAATAATGATGTTACACACATCCTTCCAAACAGGAAAACATTCCTCTTTGGCTTTTATTTTGACATTTAGCTACATCCCAAAGTCATTTGATTTTCTGTGCTTGTATGCCAGATGTTGAATCTATGATGAAGATCATTTTCCTGCGGGACAGCTTTTCACATTGCATCTCAAAATCCTTTACTTCCCAATAAAGGAAATCTGTTAGAGTAGATTGAAGGCTGCTCCTTGTATTACCATGAAGTTGTTTCATCAATTGTCAAGTTGTTCATTTCACCTGAGGAATTGAATGTTATGGAAAACCCTATTATGACCTAATCAGTTGCGTAATTGTGGTAAATTTTGAATGAAGGGAAAAGATTTGTAAGGGCTTGTGGTGTGTGTTGGTTAGGAAGTACATTGCTTGTTTTGGGATATACACAGTAGAATGGCTGAATGTGGTAAGATTAATTTGAAGTTTCTGTACAATTCGGAACTAAAGAGGACAAGAATTGACCGGTGTGCAAATGAAGATTTACTCAGTAGCCATTATAAGTGTCCTGCTTGTAGGAAGGAAATGCATCTGGTGGAATGAAAAGATCATTCAGATGGTTTTCAATAGGGTTGTCAGAAGAAAAGTTCAAATGGTTACCAGATAAAGCATTTGATCAGAAAGGGAACATTGTTCGAGAAAAGTCGTTTAAGTATGACTGACATTTTGATTTTTACGTGATTGTGGGTTTACAAAGCGAACCCATATTTTTGTCAATTTACATGGCGATGCTGATATACAGATTCTAGTTCAGATAATTTTAGGAAGTTTTTGGATGCTGTTAAGGAATTTTGTGTGCCACAGACTGAAGACACAGAAATTTCTAGTTGATCTTTACAATATGGTAACTGGTAGTTTGGCGACATTTTGGAGGCGATAAAGGTTACTACCTGGCACTTTGGTAATAATGTGAGCAGTACTCAGTTCTGATTACGCATTATTTTGTGTGAGGGAAATGAGAGATCATGGGATATGTCATGTGATATTAATGGACGAATTACGGTTCTTTAATCGGAAAAGGGGGGAAATCGGGAAAATATCTGGAAATTTTGTATTTGGCTTTATTCTGTGTTGTGTGAAACAGTGTTCGTGAATTTTTGGATCCCATGGCCGTAACTAAAGTGAATTCAAATTGGGTATTTATGTATGTGCTCATTTATATTTTAAGTAGTGTTTTTGAATTTAATTATATTTTAATTAAATGATAGTTATTTTGTGAATTTTATGTTTGTAGGAATTTGGTATACGTTTTAGTTGAAGTAAACGTGCATGGAAATAATATAAATATCTGACATATATGTTCTTTTTACCGGGTTTAAAGATTGAGAAAATTGTCATGTATTTTCGTGAAATTTTTCTAATTTTGAGAGAAAAAAGCAGTGTACATGGATATAGTGAAGAGTGTGCGCAATGCCATTTTTGTGCAATTCTGTGATGTTTTTTTAAGTAAAAATAAGTCGGCGTGTACATGGTTTAGTGATATTTAATTAAATGATAGTTATTTTGTGAATTTTATGTTTGTAGGAATTTGGTATACGTTTAAGTTGAAGTAAACGTGCATGGAAATAATTTAAATATTTGATACTAAGTATTTGTAATGCTTGCGGTATGAATTCGTTGGTGACGTGTATAATGTAATAGATGATTTTAAGGTAAAAGTTTTTGGATATTTTATTTATTTTATATGTGGAAAATGTTCATATTTGAAAAGGGTAAATACTTTTTCGCGATCAGGTAATTTCATATATGTTCTTTTTACCGGGTTTAAAGATTGAGAAAATTGTCATGTATTTTCGTGAAATTTTTTTTAATTTATGAGAAAAAAAAGCAGTGTACATGGATATAGTGAAGAGTGTGCGCAATGCCATTTTTGTGCTATTCTGGGATGTTTTTTTAAGTAAAAATAAGTCGGCGTGTACATGGTTTATGTGTATGTGTTATTTCGAAAAACGCGTAAGGAGTATGGTATTGTGCACTTTTTCCCAATTTTGCAGTGAATATTTGTCATGATTAAGCAGTTTTGTTAGATAAAATTTCTAGCATAAGTGTAATTCGGCTAGTAGATTGTTGGAAGAAGTATTCAGTGGATAAAAAGAAAACATGTCTTTACTTCGTGAAGACAAAATGGCGGTGGGAAAAAAAAAATAGAGGGTTGCTGTGGGAGAGTTGGTCGCCAAATTTTCGCCAAAAAAACGCCAAGTTACTATAATGTAAAGATCAACCAAATTTCTAAATACGGTAAGTGGATACTTGCTTTGTGTAGTGCTTAGATGTATAAGATAAATTTCCTTTTTTTTAATGTTACTTTATTGTTTGATTTAAAATGTAGATTATTGAGATTATGTACTTTTTGTTTGGCTCTACTGTAGAATTGGGTGCTCCTTTGACTTTTTAAGTGAAAATAAATTGATGTGTACATGGACAAAGGGAGTGTGCAATGCGAAGTTTGTGCCTCAGTGCTCTTTTTTTAATGGACTAACAGATTTTTAGGTAATTTACTTGTTCCACATGGTTGATAAAGTGATCCATATTGCTTAAGAATGCTACAAAAATTCCTTTCACCAAGCAAATATAACAAATTAGGAAAAGACAAATAAAAGGCAAATCTTTGGAATATGGTAACAGGTCGTTTGGCGACATTTTGGTAAGGTGATAAAGGTTACTAGCTAGGACTTTAGCAATAATCTGAGAAGTACAGAGTACCAAATTTGCCCTGTAAAAACAAATTTCTGTGCACTTTTCGTTCCACTACATTCCGGAAAATTCCGATCGTGATTTGGCTAAAGTGCAGAATCGCCCACGTATTTGTTTGGCACTTTTTACAAGATTAAGAAGAATTGGATTCTTGTCAATTTTCTGTGACTTTTTAAGTGACAATAGGTCAATGTGTACATGAATAAAGTAAACAGTGTGCGCAATGCCATTTTTGTGCAATTCTGGGATTTTTTTAAGTGAAAATAGGTTGGTTGACATGTACATGGATACCGAGTATGTGCAATTCTTAAAAACGCACCAAGCAGTGGGCGATTCTGCACTTTCCCCATGATTTTAGCTAATAAGCACTTAGAAACAATTTCGTACCTAATCTTCATCATGATTAAGCACTTTTGTTTGATAAAAGTTCTAGCATAAGTGTAATTCGGCTAGCAGATTGTTGGAAAAAATTTTGAGTTAAAAAAAAAGTCTTTACTCCGTAAAAACAAAATGGCATCCCCCCCCCCCAAAAAAAAAAAAAAAAAAAATCTAGCAGGTTGCTGTAGCAGGTTTGGTCACCAAATTTTCGCCAAGTTACCATAATCCAAAGATTCACAAAATAAAAATTAATGTACAAGAAAAAATTAATAAATAAGCTATAAAAAGAAGGGAAACAAAGCATAAAATTATTTTCACGGTGTTGTTTCTATATTTCATTTTAAAAGACAACATAATTAAGATTTTATAATTGATAACTAGCTCTTAATGAGCAAACAATCCTAGATACTTATGTGCCATCATAACCATCTTAACAGAACTTGCAAATTTTCAGAATGTGCCTTTGGCAGCCATGTACATAACAATCCTTCAATGAAGTAACATTGCAATTTTCACATGTGTTCTTTTTGTTGTATTCTAATGGTATTTTTATACAAATCGTCTATCTTATGCCTCAACACTGAATTTAAAACATGTGCAAGAAGTTTGATAGCAACTCAGGTAAAATTCCTTAACACAGAATTTTTTATATTGGGAACAATGAGGCGATGCATTTGGTAGATAGCTGATCCCCATGCTTGTGTGATGTCGTTATCTCTGCAAATTTCTGATGTTACTTTAAGTGTAAGCAGGCTGCTGTGTACTAGGGAAAAGAATAGCACAAAGAAATTGCAGCAAAATTTGGAGAAAACTGAAAGTGTTTTTATTTTTTAATGTATCATGTAATATTTAATATTTTAAATTACTAAAGTATGTTTTCTTTTCATATGTTGTTAACATTTGCAACTTACAATAAATATCAAAAGTCTGGGAATCTTTTAAAAAAATAAAAATTCGCGAAAAACACGAACTTGCACCCTTTAAGTAACTTTTAACATATATAAAAAATCACCGAATTGTAGCAAGGTGATTGTATTAATACGTAAGCACCCGATCCTGTTCTAATGATAGCAAGCATTACACATTACTTAGTAACAAAAATCCTTAATGAAAATTACATTATTTGAAGAAAAAATAAGCAATTTATTTATAAAGCGAATATAGAATGTTTATATTTAATGTATATATAATTAGACGTATTTACATGCAACATTTACATTAAAAAAATATACCTTGACTGAACACGAATACACTCTCCTGCTTGATTCTCTGGACTTGCAACATATTTTAAAGGTTTCGAAAACTCTAAGTATCCCTCCACATTTTCAATATTTGCTTTATTCAGTAACCGAGATGGAGTTTCTCGAAGTAAGTATGAACTTTTCTGTTTGCTGTCATTTTTAATTTCGGAGGTTTCCGTTTTACACCTATAACAAATTCATATTTAACTAGTGCAACAGTTTTCATGTACAAGTGAAAATTGTAAATAACGACAAATTTGATGTTAACGTATTCAACACGAGAAAACTTACTCAAAATCATCCAGGAAAGACTCAGATTCGAAGCAGACATATTGTGGGCAGTCAAAACTACTCACATTCATTTGGAATTTCTCAAATTAAATAACTGCGCTATTGTAAAACTTAAGATAAGGACAGAATCAAATATACTTTATTTGAAGTTTACTACAGTTGACAACAATTCTAAAGTAACCAATCAGAAAACAGTTCATGTTTGTTGCCATCTTATGATTCTAATGGTATCTGAGTTTATTTTGATGGTTAAGTAACAGTACGAGAAGTAATTTAAATCTAAATTGAGAAAAGAAATAAAATTTATAATTCATAGACCAGAATTGTATCGTGATAACAGGAGAAATATTTTTATCAAGTTTTATGGTTTAAACGTTTCCAAGGTTATGTGAAGATCAAAGATTAAAGGTGCAAAACCGGACTACCATGCTAGCATATCAGATATCATAATGAAATAGATAAAAAGTTCTACTAAAATAGAAAGTTCAGTAAAATAAATCATAGATTATGATCAGAAAAGCATATCCTTCGAACTGGTGACTGAAGAGCAAGAAAAGTAAAATACAAAGATCAGTGTAGTTCTAAAGGGCTAAATAATAATTTCAAAGATAATAAGCTGTTTCTCTCTTTTTTGGCGTCAAGGCTGTTCTCCGAAGAATACCTATTGATGTAACATTTACAATGAAGCCGAAACCAAATGTAATTTTCATAGAACATTAGCTTTGTTTATGAAAATATCATATTTAAGCCGATCAATTTGTCTATAATTTTTCATAATATACTTTAAATATGCAAAATTTAATATTTGATTTAACTAGACGAAGCATTAGTTTTTATGGAAAAGTTATGTTACTTATTTTCGTTATGAAATTGGCAACATAATATTGGTTGCATGTTTTTTTTTTTTTTTTTTGCATTTCTTTATTTGAGCTGAATTATACGTTTCGAAGATTCCTAGAATAGAAGAACATAACATACTATTATAATAAAAATTCTAGTATTAGAGATTCTCCACAGTAATCGTAACAGAAGAAAATAAAATTTTAGTTCTGTTGGCTAAGAAATTATATATCATCTTGAATGCAATACTTATGTGAATAATATAGTTCATGCTTTTTGGGTGAAGCATTTTAATTGTTTAATGCTGATAATCAAATGCTGATTTCATAGTTTATTAAAACTTACCGAATAATACAATGAAGTTTATATCCAAAACTGTAACATACATGACGGTGAGCTTAAGCTGCTCAAAACTACTGTTGGATGAAGGCTGTTTTCTTTCTGTATTTAATAAGAGGAAAAATTTCGTGCACATCAGAAGTGATTGCCGATATTTTTGTCTAAACAAGGTATAGCATAAGTACTATCATTTAAATTTTTATACGTGAACTTTTTTTCTAATTATGGAAACGGTATCGTATGTTTTAATTTATAAAATCTAGAAAATAATATTTAGGTAAGCTACAAAGTATTAAAAATTATTTTAATGTTTGTGTATAATACATTGCTGTATCACTGACAGTACTCACTGGTAAGACTGCATCAGTTAAGTAAATTTTGTAAAAATCTTATGAGTCTACAGTGGTACCTCAGTATACAGACAGATTCTTGGAGTATTACCATCTAAACTTTTTTGTTAGGTGGAAAAAACTGATCTGTTCTTATAAAAAAAATTCCGATTGTTGCTATTACAATATTGTTTAATACTAAAATACAAATGCAGTGGTTGAAATATATATTTTACATAAACGAAGCACTGAATATACTATAATTTACATGTTTTTCTGTTGTCCAGGTAAAAAAAAAAGAAAAATTAGCATTCCCTATTATTTCTAATCATTGTTTGAGTACTCAATTTTGTCCCCTTTATAACATTTGTTGATTTAATAACAGGGCTGTGGAGTCGGTGGGAAAAATGACTGACTCCTGGAATTTTAATGACTCCGACTCGACTCTCTCATATATATATATATATATATATATGTAAACATATACACATGGGTTACAGCTTATTTTTTTAATATAAAAGAAGTAATAGATGCTACAGAAAAAAAAAAAAAATTATTGTGTAGCAAATTATTTATATTAATTAGCATTTATTATGAAATGGAAAAACTGGTATTAGTTATTTCTAAGAAACAGTATAGCTTCAGCAAGATTTTCTTTTGAGTTCCATAGATCTGATTTGATAAACTTCAGAGCTGAGAAGAGTCTTTCCACACTAACTTGAGTAGGAGGAAAAGCTGTTACTGTTACTGTTAGGGCTACTTCTTTTAACTTGTCAGGATAGATTTTTAGAAGTTCTAAAAGATTTGTCTTGCAAGCGCAATTATATTTCTCTATTTCTTTAAAATCCGTGCAGAAATCTTGTTTGTATTTTTTCATTTTTATATCTAAATGCTCTAGTTCGCTTTGCCTTAGACTTTTCAATATTATCCAAAAATATTTCTCAAAATCTAATTCATCAGTGGAAAAGGATGATAGAGATTCAATTGCAATCTCTGCAATTTGACTGTCCTGAATCGAATTCTCCAATTGTTCTGAAAATAATTTCATTCTTAATGAAAGTTCATAGATGACTTTCTTTGCTTTTTAATTTGTTTGTCATCCAAGAAAATTTGGTGTTTTGGATCTCCATATATTGAACCCAGCAAGATCTCATTGTCTAGCAAACTAGTTTCTCTTTTCTGCATTGAAGAAATGAATCATTCTGCAATAAAAAGTCCATTTCAGAAAGAACAAACATCCCATTCTTGCCTCCTGTCAATTCTTCAGATTGCAGCTTTTTTGTGGCTATATACGGTATAGAAAGAAGAGTTTCCAATTCTGCAAGATCATTCCACAGTCTTTCTGTTAGTGAAACATTAAGGTTATCTACATCTCCTAAAAAAGTTCTTAATTATAAAAACCTCTTCATCATCAAATATGCACTTTCTTATTGCATTACTTGATCAATAATTTCTTCTTTTCCTGCTCGCTTCCTAAGAATGGCATCAATTTTAGGAGTTCTTGCTGCTATTGCTGCTTACCTAAATTTATCAGTGAGATTTGTAACTAAATGAATTAGTTTAATCATTAATGGCAAATATTACATCCATCCTCCTCCCTTATATTTATTTATTAATAGGTCAGTAAAATAGAAAATTACTATTTATTGATGTATGCAGTCCATAAATAAAAATAACTCAGCTTGTCATTAATTTTTTCAATTCATTTTAATTTCATTTCAAATTCAAACGTCCAATGAAAACTGGAAATTGGAGTCAGAGTCGACCTGTTTTTAGAGACTCCAGCTCTGACTCCTTTTACCCCAAAATCTGCCCGACTCCATGACTCTGAATCCACAGCCCTGTTTAATAACATCTTTAGTTTTTGCTATTGTAAATATCATCATACTTAGCATACAATATGCACTAGCCAAATGCACATACCATCTTCATATTTTTGACATTTTTTTTTTTTTTTTTTTTGTTCTCTATGACGATCCTAAGAATTTTCTTCATTGCAGAACTCTTCTCATGAATTTTATTAAAACTTGTTGTTAGTGAATTTACAAAAGATTTAAATGAAAAAAACAAACAAACAACAGTTGAAACTTCAGAGTTATAAGGTAAATTGTTTATTGAATAGTAACAACAGATGTGCTGACACTCATAGGCAGTTGTAGCAAGGCCTCGGAAGAGGTGAACAAATGTGGTGCGCATGGTTGTGACTCATCAAACTTGAGTCATATTCCAAATATAAGTAGTATACTAAAAATTCTCATGTTCAAACAGAACATATACCAAGTTGGACATATTGCAAGGCAGACTTATAACCAAGGTATTACTGTATTTGAAATTTGTTAATTTTCAACTTGGCCCTAAAAGTAATTTTGGCTTGTAAATTTCTAGTTATGTTGACTCTAACTTTTGTTTAAAATTTTTGGTACTTTTCCGTTTTGCCAGCGCAGGCGTTAAGGTCGCCAATAATGGTACAACTAATGCAAAATGTAATATCCTCACTGGTAACCTTTTATGCTTCATTTTCAAAACAATTCATGGCTAATCTTTAGAATATGGTAACAGGTAGTTTGGCGACATTTTGGTGAGGCGATAGAGGTTACTAGCTGGGACTTTAGCAATAATCTGAGAAGTACACAGTTCAAATCACAGATTATTTTATCTCAGAGAAATGAGAGATTGTGAGACATGTAATGTGATATTTTCCGGAAAATTCTGATTGTGATTTTAGCTAATAAGTACTTAGAAACAATTTCGCTGCTAAAGTGCAGAATCGCCCACTTATTTGTTTGTCGCTTTTTACAAGAGTAAGAAGAATTGAATTTTTGTCAATTTTGATTGACTTTTTAAGTGAAAATAGGTCAATGTATACACAGATAAAGTCAAGAGTGTGCGCAATGCCATTTTTGTGCAATACTGGGATGTTTTTTTAAGTGAAAAATAGGTCGACGTGTACATGGATATCGTGTATGTGCAATTCTTGAAAACGCGGCAAGCAGTGTGCGATTCTGCACTTTCTCCCAATTTCGCACCTAATCTTCGTCATGATTAAGCATTTTTGTTCCATAAAAGTTATAGTATAAGCGTAATTCGGCTAGCAGATTGTTGGAAAAATTGTTGAGTAAAAAAAAAATTTTTAAAAAAATGCCTTTACTTCGTGAAAACAAAATGCCGTCCAAAACAAAACTAGCAGGTTGCTGTAGCAGGGTTGGTCGCCTAATTTTCGCCAAAAAATCGCCAAGTTACCATAATGTAAAGATTCACCCAATTCACAACCATTTATTATCAGATTGATTGTTTCTTTCAATACTGTCATATATAATTTTTACCAAGTAGTTCAATTTTATGCCCTAAGGCCATTCTCTGTAATTAAGTCAATTAGGATGCAATCACACCGCTCACCCAAAGGCGAAAATATAGAGAAGGCAAAGTCAAGGTTTAAATTCATCAATTCTAATGAAAATGCACTAGCGAAGTAAAGCACTTACATAATTTCTGAGTGAGCTATTTGTACGAATTGAAATAATTCTTGCATTTAAACTTTTATTCAAAATTAAGATTGAACTTGAAATTAATGTAGATAATTACTGAGAGAATTAGATTTTTGTAGCGTAGTTTGCATAAGATGAGCTCACTTGGGGGTCATGTGATATGAAAAG